CACGCACATGCCGTCGAACACCAGCCTCTGCACGCACGCGTGGCATCTTCTGGCAGCAGCAGCCGCCATGCTCGAGAGAATCCCATCTTCCGCCGTGTGCAGGTGCAGCGCCAGCGCCGACGGCGCTGGACGGTCCTCCAGCGGAACCGCCTCCATGGACGCAGCCATTCGGCTGCTGGAATTCCCCCGCGCCGTCTGCCGCCCGCACGGGCCGCGGCGAGGGCCCCGCCGCGGCCCAGCAGCGGGCCCGGATGCCGCGCGCGGTCGGGCAGGCCAGCGGCGACGAGGAGCTCCACGACCTGGCTTTCTGGTGCTCGCCGCGCCCGGACGCCGGAACCGCCTGGCCACGCCTGCTTACTCTCGGGAGGGGAAGAACACACAGACAGAAGCAATCGTCGATTGCCCCGAAAATGTAGGAAAATATGGGAAGTGGGGGGGAAGCCAAAGACCCCCAAAATACTGAAAAATGTGGGGCATATTTGATTTGCGTGCATTCATTTGTGTGTCCTGGGGCCCCTTCATACTCGGGGAACGAACAATGACACACACACACACACATAAAAACTTGGAGGTCGGCGCGGATTTCTCGGATCCGCGCTGGGCCCCCATGCCGCGCGCCAGGGAGGGGGGGTCCAGCGCCGATCCGAGAAGTCCGCGCGGACCTCCGAGTTTTTCTGTTTATGTGATTTGTCGTTCCCTTGATTACGCTCTCCAGTTCCATCAAGCACGGCAACGCGTCGTTGGGCCGATCGCTCTCCAAAGATGCATCCGGTTGGATGTTGCCCTTGAACGGGAGTCGGGAGAACACCTCCTCGGCCCCGGACGGATCGATACGACAAGACTGATGGTAAAAGTGCGCGCGGGCAACTTGCCCGCGCGGCCTCGGCGGCCTCGGCGGGCCTGGCGAGCGCGCCCTGCGCGGTGCCGCGGGCGCCGAGGGGCCCGCCGTGCGCGTGGTCGCCGAGATCTCCGCGCGATGCCGCGTCTGCAGGCAATCGGTTGCGCAGTGATGCGTCGAGGGGGGTCGGCCACGCCCGCCCGCATCTTCTGTCAGGAGGGGAAAAAACACACACAGACACAATTGATCGTCGATTCCCCCGAAAATATGGGAAAATATGGGAGGTGGGGGGGAAGACAAAAACCCAGAAAATATATGAAAATATGGGGAATCCTTTTATTTGCGTGTATTTATGTGTGTGTCCTGGGGCCCCTTCAGTTGGCCCGACCTGGCGCGCGGACGTGGCTCAGGAGGGTCGCCCGCCGCTTGTGGTCCTTGGGGCGACCAGAGGCAGGTCGCGCCTGGTCTGCTCCCTCCAGCGCTGCAGGAGAGCGCGGGTCTTGGACGCGTAAAAGGGCTAACCCGGGTCATCGGGCTTGCCCCCCCCCCTCCCCCCGCCCCCTCAGGATAACCTGACCTTGCCGGTTGTGCAGCTCCGGGGTGGTGGGGCGCGGGCACATGCAGGGTTGCCCACAGCGCGAAGGTTCGGTTGTCGGCCGACCCCCTCCTCCCCCCCCGGATACTCCGGGTTATCGCCGATTCAAAAAGAAACTGTCTCAAACGGGCGGGGATGTCTTGGGCGAGTGCGACTGGTTCTGACCTTAACCCGCCTCTCGTTGGCGCAGTCGCCATGTCCCTTGCTCCAGTCGGCTATCCACGCCTGGAGCCAGTGCGCCGCGGTCCTTGCCCCTTGTCGCTGCCAGCTCGCGCAGCGAGAGGCCCCCGCTCGAAGACCCGGCAGACCTGATGGACCCCCCCCCCCTCCTCCCGCTCCTCCTCCTCCTTCCTCCTCCTCCTCCTTCTCCTATTGCTCCTACTCCTCCTCCTCCTTCTCCTATTGCTCCTACTCCTCCTCCTCCTCCTCCTCCTCCTCCTCCTCCTCCTCCTCCTCCTCCTCCTCCTCCTCCTCCTCTTGAGCAGGCGGCGCAGCGCGAACACATGCGCCCAACTCTCCGCCTCGAGCCCGCGTTCCTCGAGGAAAGAGCGCGGGGGCGTCGGAGCGTCGACGGAGCCGTAGGCGGCCGTGCTCCGGGCCCTTCGGCGACCGCCCCCGAGGACGGGGCGCCGCTGCATGCGAGGAGGAGGAGGAGGAGGAGGAGGAGGAGCAGGAGGAGGAGGAGGAGGAGGAGGAGGAGGAGGGGGAGGAGGAGGAGGAGGAGGAGGAGGAGGAGGAGGGGGAGGAGGAGGAGGAGGGGTGCGAAGTGCGCGCTCGTGCGGTAATCGGGTCGGTCGAGATCCTGCTCTTAAAAACAGCGTTGCTCCGAGCCGCAGGGTGGACTTTGCTGCCGGACGCGGCCTGGTTCCGCGACGAAAAGTGCCCTCCACATTGTGCTCGTGCTCGCAGCGCCTGTCCGCGGCGAAGACCGTGCCTCGGACGGCGACGTGGTGCCCTCTCCCCAGACGGCCTGGAAGATCTTGTCGCAGGTGCCCTTTCCGGTGCGGCACCGCCTCGACCGCGGAAGCACGACTTGCAGAGGGGCGTGCCCTCGACAAGCCGCAACTGCAGACGTGTCATGCGCTGGAAGCTCTCAGCGTCCGTGGTGCCCGGGGGCTTCTCGGCGCCATCGCCGGGGCGATGGTCGCCCTCGTGCGCGTATGGCGACCGCGAGGTCGCCCGTGTCCTCTTCGGCGGTCGTGGGCCGACTCTGCTCCCACGAGATCAGGGCGTTGCAACCGCCTGCCGCCGAGCACGACAGCACTGTCCCGGAGCCCAGTAACGCGGTTTGGTCTTATTGGGCTGGCCTCCGGCCAGTGCCGCCGATCCGGGGGGGGCTCCGGAAGTGGAGTTTTAGTTTTCTATACCCCCCCTGTCCCCGGGTACCGAAAAAACGTCGGAAATGACGTCGGAAATATCCCCGTGTACCGAAAAACGTCGGAAATGACGTCGGAAATAACGTGCCCCCCCCCCCCTTGCAGAGCGAAGCTTGAGCGAGCTCAAGTCCACGCTCTCAGAAACTCACACGCCGGATCGGCGGATTTCTTTCGCGTGGCGATTTCCCGTTTGAGCCGCCCGCGCTGACCAACAACCACGCGTTCCTCCAACCTTACACGTCGCGCTCCCGCCGCGAAGACGTCAGCAGAGGCGTCGGGGAGGCATGTGGCCTATGAGCACATCGAGAAGTTATGGTCATTCAGTGTCGCGGGCGGTTCACGTGGAGGAAACGCTGCCTCTCTGGGCTCCCCAAGCGCTGCGCGGCCTCACCCCGAGCCACCTCCAGGGCCCTCGCGCGGTCGCGCGTCGTTCGTTTCCTCCCCCCCCCGAAAGTGCCAACCTCTGTGGCGCGGGACTCGGGCCGCGCAGGGAGGGGCGTCATGTCTGTCGGGCTGCCTGGGCGCATGATGTTCGAGCGAAGGTGCACCGCGCAATTGCCCAGCCGAAAAAAGAGGGGGTCGAAGTCGCACGCGGCCTCCCCGTCGAACAGCGTGGCAGACTATCCGTTGACCTTCTCCACGCCTGTTTGGCGCTCCTGTCCGGGAACTGCTGCTCGTGGTCGGGGTCGCCATGCTCGTCTCCCCCGAAGAATTTTTCTGCGCGGCAGCGCCGGGCGACCTCTTGGAACGCGGGGAGGAACCTCGCCTGGAAGATGGATTTCACTTTAGTGAGCGATCGCATGGCGACCCGCCACGTCTGATCCCACACCCACCAATCGACATCGCGACTGCGGTTTGAGCTGCGCGGACGATCTACATATCGCCAATTCGGTGGGACACGCGAAACAGTTCAAGTTGAAATAAGCAAATAAATATGCATGAAATCAATGAATCCGTGCTGTGTCCCGATTATTTCCGGAAATCACGATCCGTGTGACTGTTTTTTTTTTTTACCCCCCGGTAGTTTCCCGTCTTGTCGGGAAATATGTGTTTTTCCCTCGGTAGTTGCCAGTATTTCTGGAAATTACAATCATCGTGACTGTTGGTGTTTTTTTACTCACGGTATTTTCCAGATTTGTTATTGTTTCTTTTTATTTTTATTTCTTGAATGGTCCAACAGGATGTAGTCGTCCGCGCACCTCAAGCTGCGGTGCCTGATCGGGCACTGCTCCCTTTTCGAAGAACAAATGCCCGAGATGTGGCCGCAACGACTGCGACAACTTGGTGTGGTCAGAGAGCTCCTTGTAGTATGCTCACAGGATAGTGGTCGTCGCGCTGTTTGCGTGCTGGGCAAGGAACTCGTCGAGGCGGGCGGTCGAAAACGCATTTGTCGTTCGGGTTGCGGCCGCCGCGACGCGGTGTCATTCAGCATGCGGCAGCTCAGATGGCGTTTTCTGGAACATGGCGATGGCGTGGCAGGGCAACAAAAGAAAAAACAAAGACAAAAAAGAAGAGAGAACAACAACCAAACAAACAACATGTATTGCTGTGTTCGGGTATTCGGGTATCCAGGTATTCGGGCATCCAGCTATTCGGGCATTCGGGTATTCGGGAATTTGGAACTCTAGGTAATTATTATGAGATTCGGATATTCGGTTATTCGGGTATTCTGGTATTCGGGTATTCGTGTATTCGGGTATTTTGGTATTGGGGAATTCGGCTTTTCGTGTATTCGGGTATTCTGGTATTCAGGTATTCCGGTGTTCGGGTATTCGGGTACGCGGGCATTCGGGTCATGGAACGGGGAGGAGGGCGAATACGCAAATGCTCCCCAACCGGATTCTCCAGGCCTTCACGGGCAAGCGTTGTGTGCAATTTTGCGCGCGCCGCGTTGGCGGATCTGCGGGTCTTTGGAACAGGGCCACCAGTTCGATCTGATTTTGGGGGATGAAGGGGGTCGGGTAGAATCTCTCACCGGACATCTCCGCCATCCTTTACATCGCAGGGGACTGTGGGAGGAGATCTTCTCGGGAGGGGAGGTTGCATCTCGTCGAGTCCAGGGTCGGCTCGCTCATTGCCCACATGGTAAACTGCCTCGGCGACGGCTGTTACACCACTGATGGGCTTCAGCGAGCACGTCTTGAGCCAAGGTCGCGGCGGTCGCAAGGGGAGGGATTGTTGTTCCTTGAAGGTGCAGGCGCACCCGCGCGCGCTGTACGAGACGCTCTTGGCTGGCGTGCTGAGCAAGAATATCACGGGCCTCGAGATGGAGATATTCTGGAGACTGCTCTTCGTGGGCCCCGAGGAGCGCGGTCTCTCGGCCCCCTCTCTGGCCCACTCCTCCTGGCACGGTCGGACCGGGGCATGAGATCGAGGCCGGTGCGGGGCTGGTGCCCCAGTGTTCTTCGCGTTTGTGGGGCAGGGCTGGGCCTGAACGGTGTTTTTTGTTGTGATTTCGTGGGCCGTTTTCATTTCGGCTTCGTTTTGCGGTAAGGGCGGATTCGAGACAAAAGCGAGGGAAGACGAACACAACACGAAAACGAAAAACACCGTTCAGGTTCAGCCCTGTTGTGGGATGTTGTTGTGCATCTTGGGGGAGGGTGTTTACGAACGTGTTTTTTGTGCAAGGTCTTGGCGGTAACGGCCGTGATCGGCCCGCTCGCTCCCCCCCCACCCCGCGGATCGCGTCACGCTATTTTTAAGATGGGCCTGTCCCTCTACAGGGGGAATGTTCAAACATAGTTTTAAAAATTGTCTCGGGACTTTTTTTGAGTATGTTTTGTCAATTTTGGGATATTGTTTGAAATTTTTTGTTTGTCGAAGATCCCCCTGTAGGGGGACACGCGCGACTTAACGTTATTTTGTCCAGACTTGCACAGACGTCTTTCGGATTCTCCGGGGATTTCCTAAGATTTCTGGCGGCCCCCGCCATGATCTGATCCGGGGGGGTGGCCGAACCCTACCCCTTTCCCCCCGTCACGCCCGTTATCGCGAATAATGGGAACTCAGGTTCTACCCTAGAATGTTCTTCAGTCTGGCCTGTGGAGGGTCTCATGCTCTCGAAGGATGTTCTTCTGTCTGAAGATCTGGCCGTGATTTGTTTTGTCTGAGCTGAGGGATGATGCCCGTGATCGGCTCAGCGACCGACCCACCGACCGACGACGACGACGAACCTGGCTTACTGACCGACCGACCGAGCGACCGAGCGACTGCTCGTCGGCGACGGCGACGGCGACGAGCCCTCCGCCCCAGAGCACTTCACGCCGCGGTGCCAGCAGGGTCCAGGGCTTCCCCTCGCCGCGCGAGCGTCGCCGCGGCGCCCCGCTTTGGGCGCGTCTGCCGGCGCTCGCGGGCTCCTTCTGGTGCTCGCAGGCATCTTGCTGCTCTTCCGGCTCGGTGGCGAGCGAGGGTGGGGAAGTGAGAATTGGTGGTCTCCAAACCAGGTGGTGAGACACCCGGTGGTGACCCCGATTCCCTCAAAAAATAATTCTGGGTCACCACCGGGTTTGGGGACACGCGGTCGCCACGAGGTTTTGCGTTTCCTGGGCCAGCCAGCGCTCGAAAACCACCACCCAAATCGCCCAAAATTCACCACCGGGTGTTCTCACCACCACGTTTGGGGACCACCAAGAGAAGGAGAAGGCCTCCTCATAAGGCGACAGGACTTCTCAGAAATGGTGGGCTTGTGTTCCACCGCCACCACAAGTTGGAGGGGGAGGGGGTCCTGCTCCTCTTCCTCCTTCCTCCTCCTCCTCATCCTCCACCTCCCTCCCCCTCCAACTTGTTGGTGGTGGTGATGGAAAACAGGCCCATCAAGGAAGGGTCCTTCCGAGCCTTCCGATAAGTCCTGCCCCCTCCCATTTCCCCCCCAGGCCCGCCGCCGAATCTCGCGCGAGGCATCTCCTCGTTTCGTCGCTCGGGTACGGTAGGTTTGCGTCGTGTCGACCAGCGGCGACCCCAGCGCGGGCGTTCAAGGTTGAACGCCGCCGGCGACCCAGAATCGATCGATGTTGAACGATCGGACGTTGCGGAGACGGCCGATCGTTCAAGGTTGAACGATCCAGCGCGGTGTCAGGAACCAACGCCAGGGTCTACACGGCACGGACCTGCAGTAGGAAGGTGGCGAGGAGGAGGAGGAGGAGGCGGAGGAGGAGGAGGAGGAGGAGGAGGGAGGAGGGGGAGGGGGAGGAGGAGGAGGAGGAGGAGGAGGAGCAGGAGGAGCAGGAGGAGCAGGAGGAGGAGCAGGAGGAGGAGCAGGAGGAGGAGGGCCCAGCGGCCCCCAGCGCCAGGAGGCGACCCCGCTGGAGTCCCTCGCCGCGCCCGCCCCCGCCGGCCACCACCACGGGAGCCCCCACAGGCCGGGTGCCCGGAGGGGCCACAGGCGCAGCAGCTGACGCGGCCCGCCGCCGGCGCCGCGGCCCGCCGCCGCGCCGTCGCGGGGCCGCAGAGCGCCGACGGAGCCGCGGCCCGGGCCGGACGAAAGGGGGGGATTGGGAAAGGGGGGGTTACGAAATTTGCTGCATGTAGCCGGTTTCGGCCCCACCGAGGGGCCCATTCCTCGATACGTGGGCGCCTCCCGGCGCCGGGAGGCGCCCGGAAAATCAGCTACGTGAGCTGATTCTCAAACCCCCCCTCTGCTATCCCCCCCTTTCGCCCGACCCGAGTGGCCGCCGCAACTGTTCTCCTCGCCGCGCGCGCTCCACGGCCCGCAGATCGCAGGAGCGCCCAAGAGCGCGCTCCAGGAGTGGCCCGAGAGGGAAGGCCCCGAGGCGGCATTCTTTGTGGAGCCTCCGCGGGGGGGCGATGGGGATGGAGGCCCCCCTCGTTTTTAGCGGAAGGGTCCAGGGCGGCCCCAAGAGGCCCCTCGGGCATCCCAAGAGAGCCCCAAGAAGGCCGCCGCCCGCAAACGTCCAGAAACACAGGCTCACCTCGATGTGATGGGATGGTGATCGTTTTCTTGCTGCCTTGTTTTGCCGATCGGCGCGGGCCCTCGCAACCCCCCCCCCTCCCCCCACCCCTCTGGAGTGGATCTTGGGTGTTTGTGGCGCCTGTTTCGAGCAGGTGGAGTCCCTCCCCCATGGGACGCACCGCTGCAAACAGTCGCACTAAGCCGAGGCCTGGAGCCAGACCCCCCCTGGCCCCTCCCCCCTCACTGCTCGCAGAGCGCCTGCCCGAACACGTCCGAAATCACGGGCTCACCTCTCGAGGCCTCCCGGGTGGGGTCCGACGCATCGCATCGGTGATGCGGCGCGATGTGGAGCTCGATGTCTCCACACCGACGCCGCCGATGCAGCGCCGATGATGCATCGGCGAAGTAACGCCGATGTGTCGGCGATGCGGCGCGATCCTCCGACCCCCATCTGGGAGGCCTCGAACCTCGATGGGATGGATCGTGCATCCCCCGCGGCGGATCCCGGGCCATTTGCGAGCAGCTCTCCTCCGCGAGCCGTGGGAAGGCGCTCGCGTATCTTCGAGGCCCTGGCCGCCTGACGCTCGTCCCCCGCCCCCGCCTCCCCTGCGTGGCGGCCATGTGTCGGGGGCGGACAGAACCCCCAACAGTGACACGTCGATTAGTGAATTGTCCGTTTTCGGTTCTCGAGAGGGCGCCGCGGCCGTTATTTTCCAGTCTTGCTCCCGCCAGGTTTGGGCCTCAGGTCGTTTTCACTAAACCACGTTTTACTAAAGGGAGGTCTGTCCATCCCCGAATGTGGGCGGCCCTCCCGGGCGCCGTGACCCCGTGTTGGCCGCCGGCGCCGACGGCGTGCTGCGGCGTGGAGCGCCGACGGAGCTGCGGCGTGGAGCGCCGACGGCGCCGCGACGGCGTGGGCCCCGCGGTTGGCGCCGGGGCGGGGCGGCGGCGGGAGGAAAGAGGCGCCGCCGCCGTCTCGGGACGATCGGCACGGGCACGGAAGCAGGGGGGGGGCAGAGTCAAGCAGCAGTACTCAGAGCCCCGAATCATCAGGGGTAACTCGGGTCAGGGATAACTCGGGTTCGTTTTTCGGGAATCCGACCACGAATTACCCCGGACCCGAGTTACCCCGGATATTTCGGGCGTCCGGAGCCCCGAATCATCAGGGATAACTCGGGTCAGGTTTAACTCGGGTTCGTTTTTCGGGAACCCAAACCCGAGTTACCCCGGATAACTCGGGCATCCAAAGTACAGTCCACCCGTATGATCAAAGGGCCGACGGTGATGAGGCAGTAGCGGGGCGCCCTGGCTTGCCTACAGGCGCACCAGAAGGTGTTCTAAAACCCTTTTGTGGTTTGCGCGACATGTTGTTAGATCACTTCTGGCTCGGGCTGTCTTCTCTGTTGAGACATCGGCATTTGGGTTCTGAACATGTGCCCTGGTCGGCCTACAGGAATGGCGGGACGGTCGGTCCCTGCTCAAGTTCTCGGAAAGATCGACATGGAAGTAACTATTGGGTACAAAGTCAAGCGGCAGTACGGTCAACCAGTGTAAGAAGGGCGCACGAGAAGGATGCACGGGCCTCGGAGGGCCATGCCGACACGTTGCGGGCGGGGCGCGGCCAGCGAGAGCGGCCGAGGACGGGTCGACGGGGAAGGCTGCAGGGTTGGCTCCGGAAAGTGGCTCATCCTTACTCCAGATTTCGTAATAAAGGGAGGGGGGTCTCATTTCGGGGGGGGGTCTCTTCCAGGCTATCTTGGAGGGCATGGGGGGTCTGGGGACGATGTTTTGGAGGTTTCTCCCACTGGGGAGGTCTGAAGTGGCTTGTCTTGGAGGGTCCAGATCCCCTCCCTTTTATTACGAAATCTGGAGTACTTTGCGCGTTGGCTGTACTTGCCCATTCTGGACAGGGCTGTCGGCGTCGCCGCGTTCGTTGTCCACTGGGAAGCAAAAGGCCGCCTGCCCAACAGCGGCAGCTGTCGGTTTGGGGCAGCACATGTTGTCGGGCATTGTACGGTAGGTTCGCGTCGTGTCGACCGGCGGCGTCCCCGCCACCGGCGTTCAACGTTGAACGCCTTTTGTTACCTAGAATCGGTCGATAGCGAACGACCTGACGTTTCGGAAACGCCCGATCGTTCCAGGCTGAAAGATCCCCACGGTGTCAGAAAAACCAACGCCGAAGTCGGCACGACACGAACCTGCCGTACCCAGCTCGGGCGTTCAAGTGCGCCTTGCCCGGTCCCGGCGGCCTCTCGCGTCCTTCCAGGCAGTGGCGAGGGGGCCCCAGCCTGCCCATGCGCCCACGACGCGGGGCCTTGAGGGCCTCGTGTGTGGTTTGCTCGGGGTGTTATTTTCTACAGCCGTGTGTGGCCGAGGCCGTCCTGCTTTGGTCTTGCTGGTGTTCTTGGTGCACTGCTCTGGTCTTGGAGCTGCTCCGAGAGAGCACTTCCTGGTGGGCCCGTCGGGGTGCCTGGACGGTCGCGGTCCCCTGCTGATGCCGTGGTGCGGGCCGGGGCCCCTGGCCCAGACCTGTCAGAGCCCGGTGCCACCCCGAGCTGCCACTTCCTGGACGTCCAACGTCGTGAAATATCAGGAGGGAAAAAAACACACAGACACAATTAATCGTCGATGTCCCAGAAAATATGGGAAAATATGGGAAGTGGCGGGGAAGACAGAAACCCAGAAAATATTGGAAAATATGGGGAATCTTTTTATTTGTGTCTATTTATTTGTGTGTCCCAGTTCCCCTTGAAAATAGTCAATCTGCAGTGAAGTCGGGCCTTTCCCTCTACAGGAGGAATATGCAAAAATGGTCCAATAACATCTGGGGACGACCAGCAATATCTGGGGACGATTTTCCTTGTATATTCTTGCGCATTTTAAGGGGCACTGTTCGACAATTGTTTGTCCGTCCAAAATCCGCCTGTAGGGGGACATGCCCGACCTGAATCTACAGGTGTCTTTGCCGCTTTCAAATTGCTTTCGGGCTCCGGGACCGTGAACAGCAGCTCAGACTGGCAAGCTGGCCCTGGAAAGAGACTCAGAACTTCTTGGGACCCCGTACGGAAAAAAATCAAAACAAGACACATGGGACGCTTGCTTGAGTTGCAAAGGGCGTGATGCATCTTTGCTGCTGGATGGTTCGGGGTCGACATGGGTTGTTCCGGACCGCATCGCGGTGGCGTTTACGCGTGATCGGCTCCAAGATTGCCGGGGCTGGAGTGGGAGGGGGTCCTCCTCCTCCTCCCCCCCCTCCTCCTCCTCCTCGTCCTCCGCCTCCCTCCCCCCTCCAGCTGATGCTGGTGGTGGTGGAAGACTCGCCCATCAGGCCAGTGGGGCGCACGGCACGCTGCGCGCTGCTTCCCTCCGTGGCCTTCTGTCGGGCACGTCCCCCTCTACGGGAGGAGTATCCAGAAACCGTCAGCAGAAATAGTGTTGGGAGGATTTTTGTTCGACCATTCTTGGACCATTGTTGGGCATTTGTATCCAAGCATTTTTAATTGCTCGTCCAAAACCCGCCTGTAGGGGGACACGCCCGACCAAACTGTAGCCGAAGGCTGGGAGAGGAGGGTCGATGTGAGGCGGTTCTCCCCCCCCCCCGCTGCTTGGGCCAGCATCTTCAGCCCCATCCCCATCTGCACTGGGAAAGCCTTGGCCCTCTGTCCGACTCATCCCCGCGTGTCGAGAGAGATGCCGTCTCCGCCGAGACTGGCAACATCCAGCCCCACCTCGAGAGGGTATGATGCTGGCGCGAAGGATACTTAGCCCAATTGAGATTGCGATAGGTTTGACGATACTGATTTGAGGCCGGCACACCATGAGGAGCCGCCAGTCTGATATACAGTGGAAACCCATGCCAAGAAACACACTGCTTGCCTCCATAGTGCCCTTGGTTTCTTGGGTTCCGATGGCTCTGCTATGGCTCTGCTGCTGGGACGCGTGACGTTCCCACAACAAGAATCAATGGACGTCCTGGGGTCTCAGGGTTGGATTTTTTGTTCACGGTTTCTCGTGGTCCAGCTCTTATTGTATACCCTGATCTCGAAGCAGAGGCAACCGATTCTGGTGCCCATGCTCTCTTGTGCTGCCTCTTGCCGGCTCTGGGGGCCCCTTCCTCGCGGACCCTGCGCCCAAACTGGATGGCCGATGACGTCTGCAACCTCCGATCTGGGGACGCTTCAATACCCAGAGGAGTAAAAGGTACCTATACTGCTACCTTTTCCTCGTTGTCCCTTTTCTGGGCCTCTTGGGCGGCCCTCGTCGCTGCCGCCGGATGCATCTCGAAATTCTGGTCAGAACGCACCGCAGGGGAGGTCTGGGGAGTAGCGGTATCGGTACCTTTTGGCTTCCCCACGTGCCCCCTACAGTGGGCGGTTTGAACAAGGAACGCTTACTTTTCAAAAGGGGCTCGGTCGTTCCTTAGGCTTGCATGCGTTATTTATCGCTCCCTATGCGTTTTGTATTATTTGTTCATCGTTCCCTATGCCCTATGCGTTATTCCTTGGAAGAAAGGGGCTTCGTTCCTTACTTATCGTTCCTTAGGTCGGGCCGATGACTGTATTCGATGTCGCATTCCCTCACTTCATGCCTCCCACCACTTCACGCTGCCCACCTCCAACATCCCTCCTCCCTTCCGCTGACGATGCCGATGACCCGAGCGACGCAGTGGAGCAGAGCCGACATCAATTGATTGCCTGGGCGCCCGCGAGCGAGCTGTGCCCGCGCGAGGCCGCGCGCGGGCGCGCCGTCCTTTCCGCGCCGGCGTGCCGCGCGGGCGGCTCGTCCGCAGGCTGCCCGCATAAGATCAGTGGAGCGGAAGATCGGGACAAATCGGAACCAGAGATTCTGGGAGAGTTCCAGAGAAAAATATAACGCCGATTTGTGGAGCGTAGCGCGCGCATTCGCAGAAGTTCCCAAAGAGTGTTCGAGGGCTTGAGGAGCCCAAGTAACACATGGGCGCTCAATTAAACTGTTGAGGGCGGGCAGAAAATCTGGTGTGCACGAGCATTGTGAGCGGGTGCGCGGCTTGCACGGGGGGTACAGTAGGTTTGCGTTTCAGGGACTTGGGCGCTGGCCACTGCGCTGATGGGGGGCCCGAGAATGCGTCACACATATTACGCCTGTGGCGCCATGGAGGCCGCATTTGCGGTTGCAGTTGGGCGGGCGCCCCGCCGCGCGCGCCGTGGCGACAGCTCTCTTGGGCGCCCGCCCGCCGCCGTGGACGTAGTGGACCCAGCTAGTCTCTCGGTCGGCGCGCGGCGGGTCGGCAGCCACGACGCTGGCGGCCTGAAAATGCTTCGAAAGTGTTTCTCCCCGAGCCCGGGGCTATTGTACGTTTTCGGTGGCACGCGCAGCTCGGGGAAAAATCGCCTTGTCCGTCGGCGGCCAGTTGGCCGTCGTCGCGCAGAAGTACCGGCGGATGGCGCGGTCCACGCTCAGCGCAGAGAACGTGTCCATGAGCGTGGACTCGTCGAGGGGCAGGAGGAAGGACCTCGCGGTCGGGACCATCGCGGCCCGCGATGTCCACGGCCCCCACCCTGGGCGCGCGAGGACCTGCTGGGCGCCGCCGCCGCGCGATTTC